GTATAAACATTTTTAATCAGGATTACAAAATTTTCAATGAATATTATAAATCTCGTTTCATAACCACATAACTTTTTTGTTTACGCCAGAACATAGGAGTTTTTTTTTATTCAAAGTTTCTCACCCCCTTATAAATATTTTGAAGTTCAAGATACGTATCTCGTAAGATAGAACGATCCTTATTTTAAACAGAACCTGCTCAAAACAACCATAGTAAAAAAAAATAAAAAATTCAGTAGAGTAGTTATAGATGACTGTACTGATCTAACATAACATTTTAACAACGACGATAGCGATAGTTAATAGTGAAAAGCAAGGAGTATATGCATATTAAAACATTCCTTTTTCGTAGTACAGTCGATCCACTTCTGTATAACATGCGACTAGGGTATTTTTATATAAGACCGGACCTTTTAGCCAGGTATATATATATGTATAATGCATACAAAAATATCATTAAATGATTTTCGTCATAATTATTTGAAAGACAACACTGATTCTCTTTGTTATTTTGGTTCGTGAAAAAAAATCTTTTTTTAAACATTTGATGATATTTGAACGAATATTATTTATAATGTTATTTATAGATAAGACAAAATTAAAACATTTTTTAACTAAGTAAGTAAGTACGACAAATACACATAATAAAACATACGTATGTACTGTACTTGATAATCCACAAAAATTAATTGGTTTATCATGCAGATGTGATCATTTACCAATTTATTATGCTTTGAGATGAACGTGTAAATAAAAATAATTTTTTTGTTGACTTATTGTGTTAATATTTAAAAAATCATGAATATTCTAGTTTCTTTTTTTATTTGATATACAAAGATTAATTCATTCTCGTCAAAAAATTTAACCTGTTATATAACAATGTTGTCATCTTTATCAGTAGCGGTAGACCTGACAGGATAATCATTTCTGGTAGGGTAGCATTACTAGATAAGTAAAAACTTAAATATTACACATATGTCATATCCATTCAAATCAATATTTTTTATATTTATTAGGTTAGACTGAACACGGGGAGCCAAAAAGTTCATACTTTTTGTATAGGTGTTCAAGCCAATATTAACATTTACGTATAACAAACCCTTCAAAATTTTTTTTTAATACGTATAATTACATAAGTCTTATACGATTATACGCATTTCTTGGTGTTTATTCGATCATTCCCACCGGATTAATCTCAATTGTGGATACAAATTCGGATTCAACCGAATTATTTTGACCGGCAATTTTTTTATTTGTTTACGAGATACAAGTGTTTGTACATCAAAGGAATCCATAAAAAGTAAATGATATGACAATAAATCAAAATACTTATGTACGTACGTATGTACGTTATGTACGTACAAAAAATAATAGTATCGATATCGAACATGAGAAAGTAGTGGTGGAGTTTAAAATATTTAGAGATAAAATAACGATAAGAATAAGAAAATATTTAAAGAAAAGAAGGTAATGATGGGGCATTTTAATATGGCATATATCAACACATATATATCTTTAATAAGACAAACGTGCAGAGAAATTAATAACACAAGATAAAAAAAAGTCTTGTGCATTTTTCTTAATTTAGGCTGCGGCTGAAACTTAATTTTTCATTATGCGAAGTGCAGATTAAATTTTAGTTGATTAATAAAGGATTCATTCACAGACCAAGTGATCGAGATGTTGAAACTAGATCATATTAAATGCAAGAAAATACGTAAGAAAAATGAACAAAGAAAAGTTTGGGTGAAAGTCAACGCTATTATTAAATTATTATTAAGGATAATAATAGAAGCCACTTGAACATAAATATATGCTTACGTATAAAAAAAATATGCATTGTATGTACTAAGTATAATTGTTATGTATACTTATATTATATATTAATTAAAATATATTCATCATGATTTAACATGATTTAATTTATTTATTATTTTCGAAATTTCAAATTATTCTCCATTATTCCATTATTCCAAAAATTTCAAATATACAATACAATACAATACTATAGCAGATAGTATACATACATCAAATACATCAATATACGGAATATCTTATTGGAGTATGTATATATAATATAAGTGTATGTACAATCTACAAAAAAAAAAAATAATAATCTACAAAAAGAAATAAACTCTTTCTCCGTAAACAATATTACTATTAACGTTAAAAATATGAAACGGGAACTTAGATTACATGATCACCTGCTTTTTTAACCTATTTTTATCTAATTTAATAATTTAATACTCGGTTTGGTTTTGAATGGATCGAATTTAGGAACTGTACCAACATTAACAAATAATGGGGTCTCGAACTTTTTTTAAAGAAAATCAACGCGTGAACTTACTTACTCATATAGTACTTAAGTTATTCTCGTTAAAATTATCAACATGTGATGAGAAACGATGAGAAACGATTTTTTTAATATATATATTACTAAATATGTTAAAACCTTATTGTATGTTAAATAACTCCGTTATTTTCTAACTTAAAATATTTCAATTGAATTTTTAAGTATATATAATATAGATTCCGATTTTTCTTTGTATAAAATTTCTTATATATTCTTATATATTCTTATATATGTTTATTATATATGTTTATTATATATGTTTATTATTATATATGTAAATAGGGTCACCCGATCTGTTAACGAAAATAATTACTTTACTTAATATGGAATTTATATAATAAGTTTTATATAAATGGACTAAAATAGGTTTGTCTTTGTATGACAAGATAGTTTGCATAAGGAATCCCCTCACATGGATTCAATGAAACACAAAACCGAAATGATTGTTGACTATATACTATAAAATATTCAAACCGATCAGAGTCGATCAAGACTATAATGCTACTAGAACATGATTTGGAATGATTGGGAATGACTTGGAATGACTTGGAATGACTAGAATATGCATAAATATGGAATAGGTTGTTGGAATCGAAATAATTGAAATGAAATCGAGTACCACCGTACATACATACGCATGTATGTAAGTACTGTACGGTTAGAATATTATGTACGTGCGTACCCAAATTAAGATGACTCATTTACACAAGCACGTACGATTTTGGTTATCACTTATGTTGACCGGAATGTAGTTCTGAACATGATAATGCAACTAAACATACTGCATACTTTGCGTTTCTGTGAATCCGAAACTTCAAATTTTAGTATACAAATTGCCGGTTATTTTCGTTTAATAAGTTTAATAAGTGTATTTTGTACATGATGATTTATAAAGAATATAAATACTTGATTTTAATATTTTTTTATTACTGTAAACAGTTATGATAGATGTAAACAGATATGTATAAAATTTATTGTATTAACTAATCAACCTATAGTATAAATAAACAGGTTGAAAACACTTGCATCAAGGCGTGAATAATATAATCCGAAAAAAAAAAACAATATAAAGTAAACTAAAACCCGTTGTTTGGAATTTTTTTTAAGTTTTATTACTACCTGTCTTTTTTTTTGTTGTTTTTTTTTTCTTGGGATTTTTTTTTTTTTCTTTTTCTTTTTTATATTAGTAATTCACACGAATCTTTACCAAATAATAACAAACTAATTAAATTAATATTTTAAGCAAGAATTTTCATTCAGACGATAATCCCCCAAAAAAAATGGTACAACAAAAAGTGGCACATTTATATAAACCTCTTCACTCTCATTCTCGTAAAATTTCTCTATATAAACCCCTTCCTTCTCATTCATCATCATCATCATCATCATCGTCGTTAAAACTTGCCTCTTCGTCGATAATGACTCCTGACTGTTTTGCTGTGATACTGGACTACCTCCAGGATGATAAAGCAACTTTACATTCATGTGTACTGATAAATCGAATGTGGTGTCGTCTGACTGTTCCGCTTCTTTGGAGTCGTCCGTTTAGCCTAGTTTCTCAAAATAAAATAAATACCATCGAAAGAAATGCTGCGCTTATAATATCAACTTATGTAAGTTGCTTTTCCGATTCAGAGAGACAACAACTCATAGACGAAGGTTTCGATCTACCTTTAAATTATAGTAAACCTTTTTTTGACTATACGAGGTACTTACGAAGTATGGATGCTGCAATGTTTGATTGTGCCGTTCAACATTGGGCAAAATTAAATTCTCATAAAAGTGGTTGTTGGTTCAACACAACTGCTTATATGGCAGGTTTGGCTTTTAAACGGACAATAGGATTAAAAAGTTTAAATTTTACTCATATGAAAGATTTTTCAATAGAAAATTTAAATCTTTCATCTTTTACTAGTACTTATCATGCTTTATCAAAACTTTCATCCTTCGAATTGGTTTATTATCCAACTCACTCCTTTTTCAAAGATGCTACAAATACTTTAAATTCAATATTTTCCACTCTTGCTGACTGTGCAACTAATCTAATAGATCTTAAAATTTCTATTAATAAGCGCTGTGCGCCACCAATCGATCAAATATTTCGTTTGATTAAATCACAATCTCAATTACAAGTTTTAAAGACGAATGAATTTTGGAGTGTACCTGAAGAAACTGAAGAATTTTGTGCCGTTTTAAGTACTCAAGCAAAATCTTTAAGATGGTTGGAATTTTCCGAGATTACTTATATACCAATAGAATTGGTTAGAGTTCTTATGTCTTGTCATCGATTAGAAACTTTGGAATTTCGTGGTTTCGATAGTTTAAATCTTAATTCAACTAATAACGATAATCAAGATACAACAAAATATGATGATAACTTTAATGATTATAGATTAAACATTGAAAATTTACACGTATTTAGGAATTCTTTACCATCTACGGTAATTAATCTTTTATCCTTAACTCATTCACAAAATCTTAAAAAATTAGCTATAGAAAAAGCTACGATTGAAATTATTGATACACTTCAAGTTTATTGTCCAAACGTAACAAATTTATCTTTATGTACAACAAATTCTATATGTCCAAATCATGCTTTATTTTCATTTGCTGTACAAAGTTATTTGGTAAATTCTCATTTGGAACGATTTACTCTTAGAGTATTTGATGAATTTTGTGTTGATCTAGTCAGGGACATAGTATCAACTATACCTAATTCTTTAAAAAGATTGGGTTTGGATTTTGATTTATCGATTGAAGATTTAAGATCTATTTTAGAATGTTCTAAAGTTGAAATAATTACTCTTGAATTACATTATTCGTGGAAAATGAACTTGCAGGATTTTATCAACGTAATTAATTGGTATAGTGAAACTATTAATAAGAAATTGAGAAATGTTAGATTATATTTACAAGATGCACATTTGAATAAGGATAGTAATATTTTATTGAATGTTGGAGATTTGATTAATGAACATTTGTTTTTCGAAGTTGTTAATTTACCTAATATTCCTTTATCTTAATTAATAATATTTTATTTCTAAATGATTTTTAATAGACTATTTTTATTCCATATTTTTTATTGTTTTATAATTTTATAATTTTTCATTTTTTTTTCATTTGTATATACGTAATATGTAATTCTCTCATATTTTAGAACAATATTTTTTTAGTAGATACTTCGTATACATACATTACACAATATCTGGTAGAACCAAATATTAATAAAAAAAAATAACAAAGATTAGTCATTTAGTATTGTTTAACAACTACGTATCATCGAATGTTTAGTTGAATGTTTAATGTTTAGTCAAATGATATTCTAAAACACAAATGCCTAACGCTAAACTTATTAAATCTATATTACTATTATAAAGTTTTATAAAAAAAATAACAGGGTCAAACAGGTTTTAAATATTGATTTTAACAAAAATAAACCTTTCGATAAATACACTAACTCCAAAAAAAATTAGTACGAATTTTTGAATTTTCTTAATTTAGTAAAAAATCATTTACAAACCAATTACCAAACTAGAGTGATCAATAGTAACACGCGAACATATGACATGAAAATTTTGTTAATTATGACTTAGTAAAGTCAGAATAAATAGCCAATTAAAATTATTCTACGTACTTACTAGGTAATGTTTTTCATCATCCATTTTGTAAAACATATTTCTCTCCTCAACAGGATTAAAATCGTTATACCACGTTAATAAATTTATAATAAAAAAGAACTAGGTTATAAGCAAGTTTATTACATAAATAATACATTATAACCATATTTATATATTCATATACCTATACATCTACTTACATTTATGTATCATTCATTTTGATCATGAAGTCAAAAAAAAGTCTTGAATATGTGAATACCACGCGAATATATCTATTTATATATCTATATTTAAAGTTTAAATAATTTTACTTAAGAATACTTTATTGCAGTATTGTTTTACATGATTGGCTTGTTCCAAACTTAAATCGATAATAATTTCTTAAATCGATAATAATTTGCAAAATGATGAAAATCTTGAATGGGCAATTCTAATAGTGTTCCAAAATAAGGAGTGCCATAAGCAAACGCTTTGATTATATAATACTAAAAAGATCCTGCAACTAAATGTACGTACATACGTAAGTACGTATAATTTGTATAATGTATAATGGCGTGCGAAATTTTTTTATTTCTTGGGGGTTTCTTTAACGTTAACTTTTGCAATATCGCTTATCTATAATATCAAATGTAATCACGCACTTGCTTGAATGAATTCACTTTTAATACTATATATCGCGTTATATGCGTTCCGTTAATCATTAATCAAATCACAAAAGAGCATACATTGAGAATTTTTTTTTTTGGTTAAAATATTATTAAATTTGGTAAACTATTTGATTTAAAGTTTATTCTATTTTAGTTTTTAAAAAAAAACATTTAATCCGAAAATGGGAAAATTGACTCCGTAATACATATACAGTATATATAGAACACGATATATAATAAAACATGTGTAAAGCTTTAGGTTACTTTTAAACAAAAAGGAAAAAAATATGGGGTATAATAATTTTCTTTTTTTTATTCATTGAAATTGTTCTTCTTTCCAGACGGAAGGTAATGTGTGACCATACAAAATTTTTTATGTATATATGAAATTACTACGCGTAACATCACGTAACCCTTTTGCTTTTACCATTAATAAATTAATATACGTCATGTTCAAAAATATTGTTACAACAAGTGTACAAATTTAGTAATAAACTAATGTTAACCTTAAAGTTGAATCATCCAATTATCTAAAATATATGCTGTACGTACGTACTTAAGTAGTTGATTCTATTGATTTTTATAAAAGTAGTTGCATATTGTGTAGCTTATAAAGTAAAAAAGTTTAATTGGTCTAAGTTTATTCATTGAGCTTTAAAAATAAAAAAAAATTTATGTACTGTATAATTAAAATACTTGGTTACATATATTGTACACTGAAAATTTTAAGAGTAACGTACAGTACAGTACATATATAAAAAGTATCAAAGGGTATTAAATTCACTCATTGCTAAATTGATAAAACAATTAATTGAATTCTGATATTTTACCGTGAATTAAAAAAAAAAAATCTTCCAATTGGTGACCCACTTTATGGTCATAATATTATCTATATTTTAAATTGTGTAAAATGTTCCTAGATAATTAGTATCACATGGCATTGACGGTCATGTATAAATAAATATATACTGTAAATATGAATAATTATCTGTTATCGTACATATGTATGTATTTAATTATCTGTTATCGTATGTATTGTACGTACCTCAGCATATAAATTAAACCATTATCAGTTATTCATAATTTACGTTTCAAAGGAAGGTGTTACCTTGTTTAATGTATTGGATGTGCCTGGAGCGAAGAACATACACAGTACAGTAATAGGTAAGCACATGGAAAAATACAGTAATAGGTTAGCACATGGAAAAAAGTTGTTCCAACCGAAATTGAAAATTTTCACTAGATTATACTATATCCCTAAATTTTTTATCCTTTATTTATATCAGTCACACGTTTTGTCACATCTTAATCTAATTGAGTTTCACATGTCGAATTTTAAAATATCTAATAGAGTTCCAATATTTTTGATAGCTAACCGATTTTTTGTCGGTTCAGATAGCAAAACAAATATCCAATACTTTTTTTGATATAAGTATCTGATACTATCTGAATCAATCAATATCCTTTCGATAGGTGTAAATACGCGCCAAAAATTGGTTAGATATCAAACATATCGACGTCTATATACTATTGCTTAAACCCATATTGTGGTTCATTTGAACCTGGATTGGATTGGGTTTATCTCAACCCAGAGTAGTGTTTCGATTTGGATAAAAAAAATTTGGCCTGATCCAGAACCGATCAGAATCTAAAATTTTAGGTTGAAACCAAGACCAATTCGAAGTGCTTAGGCCTAATTATTTTAACATTACTGAATTAGAATTAATACTGTATATTAATTAGCAGTGATATCACTGGAAGACCACTGGAAGTAAATCAATAGTGTCACTAGAACTTAAAACTCCAATGTCACTATTGATTTAACTTCCAGTGGTCTTCCAATGACAACACTGTTAATTAGTATAAAGAAGACTTTTAATTTCAAAATTAGATTCAAACTAGGCCAATTTGATTTTTTGGCTCAAACTAATTTTGTAGTTCAAGTTGGATATTATTTTAATTTATCAAATCTGAATTATTTAGAATACTAATTCAGAGTAGATTTACTTGAACCTAAAATAAGCTCATTTTAAATCTAAAATAAGCTTATTTTAAATCTAAAATAGGCTTTATTTAAATCTAAAATAAGCTTATTTAAATTTTAAGTATATATTATATAAAAAAAGCTCAAATTTTTATATTTTAACTCTAAATCTAGTACATAGTAAAGAGTTTGTATTATTCAAAAAAAAAAATTTAAAAACTATATAGGGTTAAGTCAATAGAAATCAAACAAATATTTTTTAATAAGTTTTTTTTAAAACTTTAAATAAAAATGACTTAATAAAAACTTAATCAAATTTAATAAAAAATTTTTAAATTGATTTTACAAATTTGTATTAAATTTGATCAAGATTTTGTTACGTTGTTTAAAGTTATTATAAAAAAAATTTGCTTGATTTCTATTAACTCACCCCCATATATCTTTTTGAGAATTTCTATTTGCACACGGGGTGTATGTACAAAGGTAATATAGAAACTAACACCGTATTTGCGCGTGATAACGCCCCCTGAGCTTTATTTTGAGTAAGAATTCCTTCGTGACTGTTATCCTGACAGACCACTTCCACTTCAAAAACTTAGATTATGATTGTCGTCTACCAATAAATGACTGTCATCCCGCAGATCATCAAATCATAGCTTCTATGCAGGCTGCCAAATAAATCGCTAGGGTGAGACGAAAAAAGGCAACGAAGTCAGGTTAGCAGAGAAAAATAATAATAAATTACTTTATCTGGGAAAAATTTGTTCCCCTTAAATACTACTAACGATTACTAATCGCAAATACTGCACGGCTGCAATCTGTGACAGGTTACGCCCATTAATGTAAATTATCTGTCCGAGTGTACGTACGTACCTGATCTAAACCGTGATAAATAAACATGTAGTAATTTAAAAAAAACTTAGTTAAAATTTAAAATTAATTATTACAATTTAAAATTAATTATTACAATAATAACTTTGTGCAATTACTCTGATCTTTTTTACGAGTCAAGGTGAAATATAAATCATATTTATTTATTTATTTACCATCTTATGTATCGAAGGAGTATTATTAAATTATAGCATTTATGTGATATTCGTTATTTATTTTTAAGGATTAAAAATGCCTTTATTTTTATATGGTTATTTGTTTTTAATTAATTCAATATCGAAAAGGTAACCTTTGAGTTTCTAAATTTTAGTTCGTACAGTATCCATAAAATTTTCAATTAAGTTTTCAATTAAGTTTTAATTTGAGATTAATGCATTGTATATAAAATTTACGAACATATTTCTAAGAAAGTTGAATAAATTCTAGAATTTTTTTTTATAATTATGAAAGGTGCGGGTGTAATCGGACAGTTAATTGGCGTAACCTCTCACAGATTACGACGTGCGCAAATACTACGTCATTATATGTCACATAATAATTTTAAGCTTGTTAAAATTTTTTCTTTGATAAGATTATTTTGATAGTTAAACTAGTAAAACGGCGCCGTTTCGCAGGGCTGGAGCCTTATTTATTACACGCTTAAACATGGAAATAGAATTTATATTATAATATATATGAATAATAAGATGCGTGTTAATTTTGTCTATATATATTTTATAAGGTTACTTTAATG